TGAGGCTTAGACATTAGATTACGTTGGTAAGAAGTACTAGGAAGCTGTGTCCTAGCCCCCTAGTATGACTTTGGGATGGGAGGGGGGTAGGGAAAAAAGCTTTACTAAACAGTAACAAGAGGATAGACATTCACATCTGACCCAGCTTATCTACTAAGAGGTTAAAATATTTTATTATTATATTCGTACTGTGGGAGAATAACTGATGATCATGACTCTCCCCTAACAAAAGTTTATTTGACTGATCAGAAACCATCCTAGATTTTTTCATTCCATTTTTTGAAGCTGAATCTCTCAGTGTACTAGGCCTTATTAATATATTGTTCACCAAAATCAATTTTATCCCTGCCCTCATGGAGCGTTTAGTTAGTCCCAGTTTTAGGAAAGCTGGAAGTTGGTTGGAAATTTCATTCCATTTTCCCACTGAGTTTTACTTTCAGTGTTCTTTCTCTTTTCTTTGGCCTCATAATTTATATTTCTTTAGATCCTCCTTGCATCCTCTTCTGAATTCTGGATGGCTGTCTGAATAATGTGGGCAGCACCAACCATCACTCTTTAAAAAATGGGCAAGGGAGTGGATAAGATGGTACATACTTGCTGTCTCAGCATTAGGGAAGCTGGGGTAGTAGAGTCAGTTGAACTTTTTTTTTGGGGGGGTGGATCTTGGGACTTGAACTCAGAGCCTTAAGCTTCTTTGTGCTCAAGGCTAGTACTCTATCACTTGAACCATAGAGCTACTTCTGGCTTTTTTCTGAGTAGTTTATTGGAGGTAAGAGTCTCACAGATTTTCTGTCTTTGAACTGGCTTCAAACTGCAGTCCTCAGATTTCAGCTTCCTGAGTAGCTAGGATTACAGGTGTGAACCACCAGTGTCTGGCAAGGGTCACTTGAGATGAGGAGTTTGAGACTAGCCTGGACAATAAAGCACAAAGAAAGTTTAATTTAACCTTTTCTCTTTTTTGCCAAGTTTGTCTCAAAAAATGGTTTTAAAAAGTCAAGAATGTTAAGAATAATAATCTTCCTTCTTACTGGCTCAACCTCCAACATTCTAGCTCAGTAGTATCCATCTATTACAGTTGACATCCTTTGCTCATTGCTGGACTTGTTTTTTTTTTTTTTTTAAGACATCATAGGGCTGGGAAGGTGGCTTAGTGGTAGAGTGCTTGCCTTGCATGCATGAGGCCTTGGGTTTAATTCCTCAGCACCACATAAGCAGAAAAAGCTGAAAGTGTCTGTGTGGCTCAAGTGGTAGAGTGCTAGCCTTGAGCTGAAGTGCTGAGGGACAGCTCCCAGGCTCAGAGTTCAGGCCCCATGACCAACAAAAACAACAAAAAAGGCACCATGCCTTTGTGTTTCAAGATCTAGTTCAGATACTACATTGATTTAGTTGTCGTGTCTCTCCTTGCCCTCTGACCTGTAACAATTTCTCAAGTCTTATTTTTCCTGTTATAGGCATACTGGTATCCTGTAGACTATTCTCAATCTGAATTTTCTGAAATATTCCACCCTTCCTTACCTCTCCCTCTTTCCTACCTCCCCCTAACCCCTACCTTTCCTTTCTTCCTTTTTTTCTTTCCTGGTAATGGAACCCAGAGTTTTATACATACCTCATTCTACCACTGAACTTTGTTTTTGTTGTTGCTTGGTTGCTTTTGGTGGTACTGTTAATCTTGGGGCCCTGTGTTTGCTAGGCTACCACTTGAGCTGTATGCCTCCAGCCCTGCTTTATGCTTGTTATGCTGGAGATGGAATCTGGTAAATTTTTCTAACTGGTCTGGCCAGGATTCCCCAGATCTCAGCCTCCTGAATAGTAGGATTCCAGATGTGAGCCACTTCTTTTTTTTTCCTGATTGTGAGGCTAGAACTCTGGGCCTGGGCACTGTCTATCAGCTCTTCAGCTCAAGGCTAGCGCTCTACCACCTGAGCCACAGCGCCACTTCTGGCTTTTTCTGCTTATGTGGTACTGAGGAATTGAACCCAGGGCCTCATGCATGCAAGGCAATCACTCTACCACTGGGCCACTTTCCCAGACCACAGATGTGAGCCACTGACACATGGCTTAGCCCCTATAAGCTCTTGGTATTATATAGTCCATGCTGGCCTTGAACAGGAGATCCTCCTGCCTGTGCCTCCCAAAAGCTGGGTTTATACCATTATTCTTACTGTTGTCTGATGTTTAAATTAAGGTCATAGAGAATAGAAGAAGAGGAATGGGAATATAACAGTATGTATGTGTGAATCTGTTCAAATACACTGTATTCATTCATGTAGGGAATTATCACAATGAAACCCCTCATAGCATTAATGCATGCTAATTCAAAAATAAAAGTTCAGGCTAGGAATGTGGCTTAGCAGTAGAGTACTTGCCTAGCATGTATGAAGCGCTGGGTTTAATTCCTCAGCACCACATAACAGAAAAAGCTGGAAATGGTGCTGTGGCTCAAGTGGTAGAGTGCTGGCCTTGAGCAAAAAAAGCTCAGGGATAGTGCCCAAGCCCTGAGTTCAAGCCCCAGGTCGTGCAAAAAATAAAAAAAATAAAAGTTTAAAAGTAAGTAAAAGGCGAGAAAAAAAGTCAATTTACCTTACACTGTAGACAAAATAATACAATATTTTAACAAATTTGTCCTTCTTTTAAGACTTTTATTTTTGTTTTGCTCTTTTGGGTACATAGAAGCATAATTTACATATAACAAACCTACCAATTTTATTATTATTTGTTTTTTTGGTCGGTCGTGGGGCCTGAACTCTGGGCCTGGGCACTGTCCCTCAGCTCTTCACCTTAAGGCTAGCACTCTACCATTAGAGCCACAGTGCCACTTCTGGCTTTTTCTGCTTATGTGGTGCTAAGGAATTGAACCCAGGGCCTTATGCATGCAAGGCAAGCACTCTACCACTGAGTCACCTTCCCAGCCCCTATTTTTTAAATTTTCATTTATTTATTTAGGTCAGTTGTGAGGTTTGAACTCTGGGCCTAGGTGCTGTCCCTAAGCTTGTCAGCTCAAGGCAAGCACTCTACCACTTGAGCCACAGTGCCACTTCCTGGTTTCTGGTGGTTATTTGGAGATTAGAGTTTCATGGACTTTCCTGCCCACGCTGGCTTTGAACCACAATTTTTCATATCTCAGCCTCCTGAGTAGCTAGGATTACAGGATTGAGCAACCGGCGCCCAGATTTACTTTTTTTTTTATTACTTTATTGTGGTTTTAGAGGTGATATATAGCAAGATTACCTTTACATATGTCAGGTAATACATACATTTCTTTCCTTTTGCATAGTATCATCTGTTCCCTCATTCTCTCTCATTCCCTCCCTCTCATCTCTACCCATGAGTTGCACATGGTTCACTTTCGTCAGTGTCCAGTGCAGCCATTGTGTTCTGCTGCACTTTTTCACCCATTTTCCACTGATTCTGTGCCCCCCACCTTCCTTCATATGTGCACATATGTACACCATATGAGATAAAGAATACAGAGTCATCAGAAAATGAAGACAGATTAAGAAAAGGCCCTTTTGTTTCCTTATCTTTGGCTCATTTCAGTATGTATATTATTTTATACATATGAAGAAATGCTTGGGAATTACAACTTGGTGATTTTCTCCTAAGACTATCTTTTTTTGGTCTCACTGTATATGAAACCCACCCATTTTAAATGGACAATTCACTGAATTTGATCATTTCAAATCTGTTTCATCTGACTTCTGTTATCATTCTGCACATGAGCAGAAAATTTCCTGGTTCTTCATGTTCAGGTAATCTTGGATTATATTATGGAATAATGTATAATAGGATTGTTATTTAAACTGCATCATAAACATCTTAACAAAAAAATAAGGTTATAGATGTTTAGAAGGATACCACAGAGATAATATGCCCTTCTCATGTTAAGATACCACGGGTTGGGCCGGGAAGGTGGCTCAGTGGTAGAACACTTGCCTTGCATGCCTGAGGCCCTGGGTTCAATTCCTCAGCACCACATAAGCAAAAAGCCGGGAGTATCACTGTGGCTCAAGTAGTAGAACACTAGCCTTGAGCTGAAGAGCTGAGGGAGAGCACCCAGGCCTAGAGTTCAGGTCCCATGACTGGACCCAAAAAAAAAAAAAAAAGATACCATGGGTTAAATGACATCCACATGACATTATCTAGCCCTTAATGTGAGTGGGAATTTAAACTGTACCCCCTACAGAGGGAGCTAACTACATATACTATGTAAGATTATTTATGGGTCAGATTTTTATTTTCCCCCATTTATATCAATACAGACACATGTCAAACTTTGATCTAAAGCCCATGTTCTTTTTGCTATACCAGGCAAGAAATGAGAAGAACCTATACCAATATATTGGTTTGGAGGTAGATTTACTTAAATCAAATTTCCGTTTAGTTAGGATTTTCTTGTTTGTTTGCTTGCTAGGTATTACTAAGGTTTGAATTCAAGGATTTTAGAGCTTGCTAGTTAGGTACCTTAGCACTTGAGGCATACATCCAGCTCAAATTTCAGTGATTTTTTGAGAGGTAGATTTTGTAGGATATGGTGACCTTGGATATGAGCAAGTGATAGGGAATATTTGAAAATAATTCTCAGACTTTGGCTTACATGATGATTGCCTCTAGACTTTGGAGACTGTATGTACCCAACATTTTGCACCAGCCTTGATTTAAGTCCACTTTCTTTCAGATTAGAACACCAGAGCCCCCTAGTGGACAGCAACCTGGAGTCCTATTTGTTGTCTAAAAAATTCTTGGCATGATTTTTGATTGTTTCGTTATGAGTTTTTTCTCTTTAGCTCATTTGCATAGCAGAGGTGCTCCATCTTCTTTGTAATAAATAATTAAACCATTCCCATTCCTATTTATAACCTCCCTCATGGTGTAGTGAAAGGACAGTTATCTTTTTAAAATCATTTGATCTAGTATGTTAAACCAAAAAGATATTATATCCTTATTTTTTGATTGGTTTATCGTCTATTTGATGTTGTGTTAATGGTTATTCTTTCTTTCAGAGCCATCATCAACCACTTTAATCCCAAAATTGAGTCTTATGCTGCTGTGAATCATATATCTCAACTGTCAGAGGAGCAGGTAAGCCATTACTTTGCCCAGAGTGACCTAGACAGTATCTAAGATCAAGCACTTGCTTTCTCTATGATAGCAGGGAGTTCTGTGGCTGAGCTTTTAACAGAGACCATAAGAGCCAAGCTGTCAAGGGGAATTAGTGTAGAACTGTTTGATAGTACTTTAAATAGGGTAGTACCGATTGAATTTGTACTACCATAAGGATTTGTTTAATTATATAGAAGATATGCAGATGAAAATTTAGAGAATTATTGTTTCATGTAAAGCATTACTCTTTTAATTTTAGAGTCATTTTGATTTTTTAATGAGAACTTAAAAATGGATGAAAATGCCAATTAGGAAAACTCTGAATTCAGTTTAATTTAAAACTGTTCATCTCGGTAAAACATGAGCCCTCATTGGGACAGATTTTTCCTTAGTAATTGAGTTCCCTTTGCCTTGAACAAATATTTTCAAGCAGGTTTTTCTATTTTCTATGGCATAGACTGAGTTAAGAGATTCAGATGGTTGTGTGTGTATGTGTGTGTGTGTGTGTGTGTGTGTGTGTGTGTGTGTGTGTGTGTGTGTGGCCGGCCTGATTTCTCTTTCTCTCAAAGTGCTTGTTGTACTCAACTCTGCATTATATAAAAGTCCAGATGGGGCTTTAGCATGACATGGGGTTGAACTTGATGTTTAATTTTGAGGCTGTTCATTCTCGTGTTGTTAAAAGCACAAAATAAAACATACATAGACTTTCTCTTCTTTCTTTCCCATCTTACTCTCAAGTTGGAGGGGCCAAGGTATAGATTGCAAGTAAAAAAGAAAAACACATATAATCCACTAGTCCTTTCTTGCCGATGTATCATTGTAACCCTTTTCTGAGCTCTAAACTGATCTGGCAGCTATGGTACATATCGGTGCGTTCTGACAGTCCTCAAAAGCTATTTGTCTTACCTAATGAGACACCAGGCAAGCCTTTTCTTAACAGACAGGCTTCTCAGGATTCCCTGCAGCGGCCCTTTCCTTAACTAGATGGATTGAACTCTATTAGTCTGTCAGTTGTTCTCTTTGAGGTGTTTGTTCTCTTTGGTGAGGCCAGCTGTGTGAATGCCTCCTCACATTTAAAAATGTTTTTTGTTTTTTTTCTATTGCCAGTTCTGGGGCTTGAGCTCAGGGCCTGGGCACTGTCCCCGAGCTAAGGCTAGCACTCTACCACTTGAGCCACAGTGCCACTTCCAGCTTCTTTTTTTATTGTGGTACTGAGGAATCAAACCCAAGGCTTCATGCATGCTAGGCAAGCAGTCTACCACTAAGCCACACTCCCAGCCCTAAAACTCTGGGGTTGATTTTTGTTTTTGTTTTTTGTTTTTTTATCGGTCATGGGGCTTGAACTCTGGGCCTGGGCACTATCCCTCAGCTCTTCAGCTCAAGGCAAGTACTCTATCACTTGAGCCACAGCGCCACTTCTGGTTTTCTGGTAGTTAATTGGAGATAAGAGTCTCACGGACTTTCCTGCCTGGGCTGTCTTTGAACCATGATCCACCTTTGAACCAGATCTCCGCCTCCTGTATAGCTAGGATTACAGGTATGAGCCACAGGTGCCAGGCTATATCTCTGATTTTTAAAATTTTTTTTTCCTCTATGCCTATTGAGCAGTTCAGAGTTCTATTCTTTGATGCTAGAACTCTCTAAGAGGTGTTTCTTGGTGCTGCTACCTTTTCCTGTTGGACCAATTCATGTCAATTTTACTATCTCATTTTTATGTAGAGGATTGCAACATATTGAGTTCTGTACAGTGAGAGGAGTAATTTTCTTTCCTGCCACAGTGAGATGTGGTTAGTGTGGAAGCTTAAAAAAAACCCAGTAAGACACATTTTTGCTGTCAGCCACGTGCAGCATTCATCCCCCAGCAGCTTGTGAAGGTCAGGCTGAAATCTTTTTCCAGCAGTAGCAGCCACAGACCAATAATAAAATCCCATTGTGGTGCATGAGGCAATCTGGAAAAGGATGATTAGCAAGCATGTGTCCTAACCCTCCTTCAACTTTTCTCAAAGTAAATGAAGTAATAAAAATACATCTCAGAGCTGTGGCTCAAGTGGTAGAATGCTAAACTTAAACAAAATAGCTCAGGAACAGCACCCAGGAACTGAGTTCAAATCCAGGACCAGAGAAAACAAAAATACATATGGGGCTGGGAATGTGGCTTAGTGGTAGAGTGCTTACCTAACATGCATGATGCCATGGGTTTGATTGCTCAGTACCACATAAACAGAAAAATCCAGAAGTGGTACTGTGGCTCAAGTGGTAGAGTGCTAACCTTGAGCAAATCAGAGACAGTGCCCAGGCCTTGAGCTTAAGCTCCAGGATTGGTAAAAACAAAAACAAACAAACAAAAACAAAAAACACCTCAAAAGAAGTCTATAAGCCAGAAATGAGGCAGTTCTTAGGGATAGGGAGAGTATCCAAGAATAGGGAAGAAATAGGAATTCTCAAAGATTTACTTAGACAATGAATAATTGCATGCCTGTGATGCTGAGTAGTGGGGATCAGTGGTGTGTACTGGCGGTTATGGAGTTTCTGTACACTCACTATCTCTCTTAGCATTCTTTTTGCCTTGGAAGCCTTGGAAGCGTACTGATGTCCTGGTACCCTTTTCTTTCTCTTTCTCTCTTTCTTTCTTTCCTTCCTTCTTTCCTCCCTTTCTTCCATCCTTCCTTCCTTCTTTCCTTCCTTCCTTCCTCCCTCCCTCCCTTCTTTCTTTCTTTCTTTCTATTATCCTGTTTTTTAATTTATTTTATTATGAAAATACTGTACAGAGGGGTTACAATTACATGGGTAAGATAATGAGTACATTTCTTATCAAGCATTGTTGCCTCCTCCTTTGTTTCCCCTTCCCATCCCTTCCCAGCCTCCCCCACCCCCGACTCCCCACCCAA